AGTGGCTTTCAATGTAAACAAGTAAAAATGGCATGCGTCACTATTCAGGGAAATTACACAAGTCATTGCCTTGCCTTAAATTTATTACTGGTATAAGTATGGAATGTTTTTGTATTGATTTCTAAAATGTTTAATATTTTTGATAATACTATATGTATTGTTTCTTGGGAAAGTAATAAGATTTGGACCAACGTCTTGCTCCTTTCACACCCAATTTTAATGGTGAATTTATCCATTATTATAATCAGGATAAGGATGTTTTACGACAGTTTTTTCTCAGTGTGCTGCTGGTGATGATGGTCGACGTGGCCGCCTTGAGGGCACACGCTGAGCAGCCCAAGTGCTTACATTGTGCAAACTTTCGCTTCTTGTGCAGCTGATGCTGCTGCTGCTGTTGTTACTCTGTTGATGTTTTTGCCACGGCTGTTGATGTTGCTGATGGGGCTGGGGCATGAAATCTTATAAAACTTATTGTTCCATTTCCTTTCACTTTATGTAAATTAAACAGTGCATTATTCTTGCATATGCGCAAGCGGGGAGAAGGACGCAAGTCCGTTGGGGGTGGCAGTGGTGGTGGAGTGCGAGATACATGCAGATATTTACATATTGCACTTGGCACATGTGCCAAGTTCTCGTTTTTTCTCTCCAGCTCTCCGCGTTGTTTGTTTTTCGTTTAACGAGTCAAAGGGTCGGAAAAGCTGTTGCATATGTAAACTTAATGGTTCTGCGCTGATTTGATTGATTCCATGATATCAATATAGATACAGTCTGTATCGATTGCGATAAGGTCAAGGTTTGACTGACAGTTCTTTTTCTTGCAGAAAATGCGCAATGGAAATTATCAGCAGACTACTTTACTATATATTCTGTTGGGGTTCCCATTTTTTATCTTGTGTGAATTTTTGTTGCCAAGACATCATTAAGTTTTTCTTTGGTGAATTTGCAATTACACCCTGTACATTTGGGCCCGCCCACAGCAACAGGCTTTCATCGATGATTACCGTATAGAAATCAATTTCATGCTGGCAGCTTTGATGATTTCCCATGTTCGTCGACACGCAATGAAACGCAGTTTATAATTTTGCCACTAAAGTCTGAAACGGGTAGGTGCATGCCAGTAATTTGATGCATTCGGCGCATTTTCATCTCTCGCATTTTCACTGTCATGCCTTGCTGGAGACGACTGGCTGGGTTGATGGAGAATTCTCACCGACCATGAACTCATCTCTCGTGCGTTGCACAAAAGGATTTTTCCAAGTGCCCCATGTGTGTGTGGCTTATTTTTTTTTTTTTTTTTTTTTGAGGAGGAGGAGCATTCATGGACGCCGTTTACTGCGTAGTTTTTCCTCCACAGTTTTCCCCGCTTGGAAACCCCACCCTCCTCTTCGTCTGCGGCCCCCAATTCCTTAGACACGTTTCAAGTACGTAGCAAAAACGAAAACAGTGCGCAATATTTTCACACTGGAGAGGAATGCGACAAGGGAGAAAGTGGCAAAGGGGAAATTCTGCTTATCATCATGTCAGTTCGCATTACATAAAATCCAAAAAGTGTGAGAAAACCCTCAGAGAACTGTGAATTTGTGCACTAGATAAACGCCATGAAAAAGCTATTTAGGGAGAATTAAAATCTACCTTACATGCAAAACGAATCGGAGTTTTTAAGTTGACAGCTCAATGTCACTTTAAAATCCATAATTATTTTCTTTTATATTTTCTAGGAAGTACAAAAAAGAAAGCTTTAAAACACAGCAATGAAAATTAATGGGGTTTCCCTAGAAGCCATTTACCAACTTATCTAAATCTATAATTACAGTAATAATTGAAATGGCGGGGATTTGAAGTTAAAGCACTAAGCGAAAAATAAAGAATAGTAGCTTATCAGGCTTAAATAACAAGACTTTAATCTTAAGAGATATTCCGAATTATTATAAGCAAACTTTACAGGAGAAAAACAAAGTGTTTATTACTGTTTATTTATAATCTTCCGTATTAGTGGGACAGGCATGGTTTACAATAATAACAACTTAATCTCTAGTAATGGCTAAGATTATTTTGTTTTAGATTATCGTTGGTATACTCGAGAGTTTACAATTGCGTGCCCAATGATTTGCTTTCTTGTAATTCACAAAATCTTAAAGTAATTCCATTTAATGGGGAAAATAAATTTCAAGTTTTTGGCATAAAGCAAAGAAACAATATGCAGAGTTGCCAATTAAGACTGATAGAGAATGCTGAATAGTTGAGCAAACTTGGCAATGGACGAAAGTTTAATGCGAGTTTTGGTAATGTTGAAAAGCTGCTTTCGCCCTCTAACATGTTTTTAGCTTATTGATTATAGCTGGGAAACCAATAGACATGCGTCAAATGCATACTATTGAAGGAGGAGGCAGGATGAGCTATAATATATAAGTAAATGTGGGGTAGGGCTGAGACCCTCGATGGTAGCACCCATAGCAAATAACAGAATAATCAACCCAAATCATAAAGCTTTTGTTTCTAGCAGTTTAAATATAAACTAAAACCAAGCCTTAAAGTTTGTCGATTGAAACCGAATAGCCTCGATAGTAGGCTTCAATGAACACTAATCGATAAAATCGATTAGAGTGTCGATGTCTTGCCATCTCTAATTTAGGGGCATTGGGGTGGGAAAATAATTTCCCCCAATGAGTGGGCGAAGGCTGCCGACAGTCGACTGGTGCTTAGTCATTAGATGACCAAAACGATGACTGTGTTTCAGCGGTTGGGCGGCGAAAATCTTATAAATGCCAGCAGAAAACAACAGGCAAACAAAGCAAAGCAAAACAAAACAGCAGAGGAGAACCAATGTGAGCAGCACGGCGGCCACAAAGCGGACTTGTCTCATTATTTTGTGAGCCGCCCTGGCTATTTGTTATTGTTTTCTACGATGATATGCTGGGGAATTTCGCTTCCACCGCCCGAGTAAATAATGTCATAAGGTCACACGCACAAGCACACACATTAAAGGGGGAATACTGTGGGCCTAATGGTCAGCCATTGTTGCTGCCCTTGTTGTTTTTGGTCATTTGTCTTGGGACTTTGGGCTGGGCCCCGTTGATGGTTTTATATAAAATAGCATAATAAATGGCCAGCCCAGTCTTCTAGATTCGCTATCGGTGCCATATTAAATGTCACATTGTGGCTGACGTTGTTTGCTCGCAGGTCCCGCCCAACGGCGAAGGTGATTGAAACAAATTAAAGCGAAAAAAACAGTGCAGAAATTCAATTATTAACAGGGCAACGCGCTGAAAAGCGCTGACCACCGTCCGTCACTCAACGTGGAAAATGGGTGAAAAGCCTCCGTCAATGGCAGCTGTGCAAACTTTTCACTCTCCACTCGCACCCACTTTCTGTCTCTCTTACACTTTTTACCTTTCCGTCAGTTCCGGCTGGCCAACACAGTCTCAATCACACACATGCGTATTCTGGTTTTGTCAGGCACTGGGAAGAAATACATATATAAAAATGTTAACTAGGTTACTGTTACCCAAATGCTTATTTAAAAAATATAATTTTAAAGATTGTTGAAGTTGTTTTTAAAGGCTATAGAAAGCTTAAAATTGTATTCCATTTTAATTACAATTAAGGCCTGCTTTGTTTTTTTTTCTGCAAAAAGAACAAAGTTAAAATGTATTTTTTAGCAGTCCCAAATTCCGATTCATTCCTTATAGTTTTAAAAGGGCTTAGGTGTCAATGTATTGATTTCTCTCAGTGGATAGACGCCCACGCGTCTCAATTTCTATTTCCACCGGCAGGCAGCTGGCCCAAGCGAAGTTGATCGCATTTACCTGTTTGTCACTCATACGCCTAGTGGTCCCAGTCAGTTTCTGGCTCTTTTATTTTCTGCTCTCTTGCATGTGGGTGTTCCGACCAATGAGCGAGCGTGTGCGACATGTTTAACATGTTTTCGCTTGGAAATCCACGGTGGGCAGTTGGTTTGACTTGCATCTGTGCAAATTTGTGTGCCTTACTGGAAAAACTGAACGAGTTCTGCAATGTATGTCCTCGAAGTGAAAACTGTGCAGCAGCAGCGGCAGCCATACATACGTGTAGCATTTCCCTACTACAAGCAGGCATTTCCCTCAAATTGAAGTTCAACCTGGGGGCCAGTTGATTTCTCCCCCACAACGAAACAAGCCATGTAAATGAATGAGTTTCCCAGCTTGTGCGCGTCCTTCATTTGGCTTCATTTCCTTTCAAGATGACAGCGGCATCTAGTTTCCGGTCAATGGCTTTTTCCGGGCTGGTTTTGATTTAATTCAGGCGGCATGATAAATTTAATTTAACAGTCAGCTTCAGTTGACAGTCCAGAAACCACCCAATCCAAGTTGGCCACATTCTGGTCTTTGCGGTTGCGAACGTCCAGCTTGGGAAGAGGTTGGGTTTTTGGTTTTCGCGGTCTGCTGGGAAATGTTCAGATGGCGGGAATGAAATTCAGGACTCAGCAATTGCCATATGTCAATCAATCAATCAGGAGACAGATTGCAATTGCAAAAGTTGCACATGAGACATTTCTCCATTGTTGTTTGTTGATTTTCTCAGCGAAAGTAAAAGGAATTGATTTTCTAAAAAATGAAAATCTCAAAACAAACCGATAATACACTGTAAAATTTCAGTTTTTATGTGTAAGACTCGATTTCATTATTAAGTATTAAATACTTATGTACTTATGTAAAACTCTTATACTCTCATTGAAAATATTTGGCTGTGATTTCTTACCTTGGTTTCTGGTGTTGCCACGGTCTCTATTATTTTTATCAGTTATCTGTTATCTGGTAACACAGAAATCACAGGCAAAGCCATTATCTGCAAACACACATACAAATGCAGCTGAAAAGCCTACGATTAGATACACCTGTATGTTTCATTTTATCAGACTGTTGGGTTTTTCGTGCCTTTCACTGCGATGCCAATTTTTGAGTAATTTCCAGTGATAAGAACTATCTATTTAACGAACCCCATATTCTTCTATTTGCTTGCAGTGCATGTGATGCCAAATATCCATAAAACCGAATAAAGAAATCGGCCAACGCAAAGTACTATGTGAATGCTGCAGCAATCAGCAGTTAGCCAGCAGCAGCTCTCTCTCTCTCAGTTAACCGAATTGATGTGCCATTCAGGAGAAGCAGCGCAGAAACCGACACAGAAACAGAACCAGAATCAGAATCAGAGCAACGTAGAAGCTAAGCGAGAGTATTATCAAGAGTAAGGCGCATCGCAAATGCAACAATCCCTCCAGTAAACAATACAAAAAGAACCGAAGAAACAGGTGAGTTGTCGACTGATAAATGAGCCCCATGAAGTCACCGTGATTTAATTAATTGCCCCACTTGATTCCAGTGTACATACAACTGTAACGAATTTAAACCAAAAGCACAGCAAGAAGCGGTTGAAGAGAATAACAAATAATTTAACGCCCCCAGAGTCACCGTCTGATAAATGTCAAGATAAGTCGTTACCGCTTTAACACCGCCATCAACATTACCCAGCAGCAAAAGCTGATCCAGCAACTCCAGCAGCAGCAACAGCAGGAGATCGCTTTAAAGGGGAAGAAGAACAGGCAGAAATTGCAGTTGCAGCAGCCGTTGCAGTTGCAGTTGCAGTTGCAAATTGGCCAGGAAACGAACGAAGGAGGAGCTGTAGAGCTGTTGGGCTTACCCAGGGGTGCCGATAACAATTGCAAGACGCCAAACTCAACCGCAAAAGTCGCCAACATAACACATAAAATTTTCGGTTGGCTACGCAAATCACGCAACAAACGGCCAGTCGAGATCCTCAACAGCGATTTCGGCGAAGACGGCGACGAGGGCGTTGGCGAGGGCAAAGGCCAAGGCGCAGGCGAGGGAGGAGGAGCAGCTGCCAGTGCAGCTGGCGGTGCAGCCGATCAATTTTCAGTGGCAAGCGTTAAAAACAAAGCCGGCAAGCTGAATACCACACAGACAGCCACGGAGACCGCCATCGATTCAAACGAACCCAAATCTGAAAAGATGTCATCGGGCACGTTTGTGGATCGAATCGACCCGTTCGCCAAACGTTCGCTCAAGAAGAAGGGTAAAAAGAGTCAAGGTTCCTCGCGCTACAGAAATTCTCAGGATGTTGAGCTGCAGCAATTGCCGCCGTTAAAAGGTATGCTTTTGAATACATTTGTTTTTGAATCCGTATGTAATCATTTTGTCGTTCGCAGCCGATTGCTCCAGCCTAGAACAGGAGGACCTGTTCATACGGAAGCTGCGCCAGTGTTGCGTGTCCTTTGACTTTATGGATCCCGTCACGGATTTGAAGGGCAAGGAAATCAAACGGGCCGCACTCAATGACCTATCCACCTATATAACACATGGGCGCGGAGTGCTTACGGAACCGGTTTACCCGGAAATAATTCGCATGGTAAACTCTCGGACTACCACAATGTGTTTTTTGTTGCTTAAAATTTATTACCTTCTCCAGATTTCATGCAACCTATTTCGCACGTTGCCGCCCAGTGAGAACCCCGATTTCGATCCCGAGGAGGATGATCCGACATTGGAGGCGTCCTGGCCACACCTGCAGCTGGTGTACGAGGTGTTCTTGCGGTTCCTGGAGTCCCAGGACTTCCAGGCGACCATCGGCAAGCGTGTGATTGATCAAAAGTTCGTCTTGCAGGTAAGTTTAAAGTACCGCACTTCGGAGTGCCAAATCTAATAAACTTATTTTTAAAATAGCTCTTGGAACTGTTCGACTCCGAGGATCCACGGGAGCGGGACTTCCTGAAGACGGTGTTGCATCGCATCTACGGAAAATTCTTGGGACTGCGAGCTTTTATACGAAAACAGATCAATAACATATTCTTGCGATTCATTTACGAAACAGAGCACTTTAATGGTGTGGGTGAGCTTTTGGAAATTCTGGGCAGGTAAGTTTCCCAAGCATAATAATATTTTCCATTTATGTTAATGTTTTTTGTTTAATTTATTAGTATCATCAACGGATTTGCCTTGCCTCTGAAGGCCGAACACAAGCAGTTTCTGGTTAAGGTCCTATTGCCGCTGCACAAAGTCAAATGCCTATCGCTCTACCACGCTCAGTTGGCGTATTGCATTGTACAATTCCTAGAGAAGGATCCATTCCTTACCGAACCGGTGGTCCGTGGCCTGTTGAAGTTCTGGCCCAAGACGTGTTCCCAGAAGGAGGTCATGTTCCTGGGCGAGATCGAGGAGATTCTCGACGTGATCGATCCGCCGCAGTTTGTAAAGATCCAGGAACCCTTGTTCCGCCAGATTGCCAAATGCGTGTCGAGTCCACATTTTCAGGTGAGTTAAAACTGATAAATTATTTAAAGCGTTTGCTTATAAAGGATTATTTTAGGTTGCTGAGCGAGCTCTTTATCTGTGGAACAATGAGTACGCCATGTCGCTCATCGAGGAAAACAATGCGGTCATCATGCCCATAATGTTCCCGGCCCTTTACCGCATCAGCAAGGAGCATTGGAATCAAACCATTGTGGCGCTCGTCTACAATGTATTGAAGACGTTCATGGAGATGAATTCGAAGCTGTTCGACGAGCTGACCTCCAGCTATAAAGCGGAGCGGCAAAAGTGAGTTGCTACAAGGGCTTAATAGCAAAAAGGGTAAACAATTTTCTTGTCCACGTTTTTAGGGAGAAGAAACGCGAGCGTGACCGCGAGGAGCTGTGGAAGAAGCTGCACGAACTCGAATCCAATCGTTCTAGTGGGCGCACCGCCGGCGGCAGCGCCACGACATCGAACAGCGCAGCGCCCGCGGCGTCAACGTCCCTGCAGCCACCCAGCACCGCTGGACTGAACTCTCATCAGCAGCAGTCGAATAGCAGCAGCAGCGGCAGCCTGTCCAGCGGCGGAGCCGGTGGTGACAATAATCCTGCGACCACAAATGCGAAAATCAAACAGGATAAGGCGGACAACTAAGCAACTAAACGCGAGGCGCGCCCGAAACTAACAATAAAACCAACATCAGTAAAAGCGTAAGCGTAACGCGTTATCCGATATCCGTAAACGGCAGAGACAACAACAACCACATCTAAAGGAGAAATAAATAGTTATACTAAACCACACATATGCTAAACATTAAAACCAGATAAAATATAAAACTAAAATGTATACTCGATTGACAAGACACCAACCAAGCTGACCCGCAGGACACTTGTGCGGCTGTTGAAGGAGGTAGAACCGAAATCTGGAGCGGGAGCTGAATCAGATCCCAGGGCGTGTGTGTGTGCGCGGTAATTAGGAAGCTTGAGTGCGGCATAAAAAGAAAAATCTTTATAAATAATGTATCTTACACCTACAGCAACACACACACGAACACACACACACACGTGCGCGACACGTATAAATATATATTACAAAAGAAGAAAAATAATTATTAATTACGTTTAAGCGAAAACAAGTTGAATAAAGAGAAATCGTGTTAGTAAGTGAAAATCAGAAAAAACGATAACTATAGCGGATTGAAGATTGTTGAAGCGCATTGAATATTATTAACTAAACATATTGCTAACTAGATCCTAGCATAGATCAGCCATCCAATCCCCACCCACGAACACTACGACTTCCCACTCACCTCACAATGTTCACTTGCAAGGTATTTGCGTTCATTTGAAATGTGTAAAATAGTTGAAACTGCGCTGCATCCTCAGATTTTGATTTATTCAATGATTGCTCCATAGAACGGCGTGTCTTAGTCCAGATTTTCCCACTGATTGTATATAAATAATCCGCGAACTGTGCTCCCCTCGTCCCAGAATGAAACTTTGTTACTTAGCTTTAAGTGTTGCACACTCCGTCAAGACTTCTCGTAAACAGAAATTCCAACAATTCCCGCTAAAAGCCTGCGCAGTTACGCACCCAAATCTGCATTCGAACGTAGACGTGAAAAAAAAAAAACAAAACAAAAGCAAAGCCAAGTTTTAGTACATTGTTGAAGTTGCTGCTAAACGGGCCAAGATAGACAGGGAGCCGGCAAATCTATACATAATTAAGAATACAATTAAATACCATAACGTACGATAAACGCTGATCTTTATAAATGTATGTAAGTGTGCGGAAAATACAGAAATATATCTCCAAACTGAGGAATAGGCGCATGCGCGGTAATTGAGATGTACTAAGCAAACAAAATGAATACAAATATTGAGCATTGTAAAAAGGTTAAGCTAGAGAAACCAACATCCAAGCAAACGATAGTTTATAGAACAAGGTTATGGAAAATTCAGCTTGGCATAGTCTCTCCCATACGATAATTGGCATCTAGCGAAACATTTCCACGGTTCACTCCACGCTCGGTGCATCTAGACACTAAATATCCTTTGCATATATGTATATCTCTGCGGGAAGCGGTCCAATTTCTCGAGTCCCAAATAGTTTGCAAAGTTTCTTTCGACTCTTCTCGATTTTTATTAACTTGTTTTCAATTCTCACGGAAATGCGCACAATTGTCATTCGATTTGCTAAACAATATTTTCAATTGTAAATAATGTAGCTAAGATAAAGTGTGGAACACCTTTGGACCGCTCTCCCAGCATCACTCACACATAAAACACACCTAGCCGCACTCATAGTAAGGAAGTATATACAATTTATATATGAAATATACTATGCATATATGTATGTTTGTTCATTCAACTCTCACGCCCATTACAAAGTATAGAAACATGCATTATAGGAGCAAAAACTAGGAGCAGTGGCGGCGGTAGGGAAGCAAATAGGACGAGTTAAAAGTATCCATAAAAGAACGTCTCTCATTAAGCGAAACCGCAAAAGTTCATATAATATTAAAGATAATTGTGTCTGTGAATCGTGAGTTATTATACACATATATGTATACATATATTGCAAACAAAACTGAAAAATAAGAAAAAACTAAAAAAAAAAATCTAAAGGAAACGTAAAAGTTAGCGTTATTATTAAATATGTTTGTAAAACGTCAACAATATGCAAAAAAAAAAAACAAAAAACAGAGGAAAATAGAAGCGAGGTAAAAGCGAATGAAATGCATCAACTAAAGAGTCATCGGCTAGAAGAGAATATATTTCGAAAACAAATATTGAACCTATGGCCTAAATACTAAGCAACGTGTGTAAGAAAGTTTTGCATCTTTATATTAGACTGTAATTAAACAAAGAAAATAGCTAAAGAAAGCCCAAGCCGAGACAGCAACTACAACTAGAGCTACTACAAAGAACCCACGAGTATCATCCCCATTAAACAGCAATAGCAACTAAACTATATCAGATCGGATAAACCCCGAGCGTTAGGTCCTACTGCCTTTAAAGATCCCAATAAAAGAACACCAATAACAGGACTGTAGCACGTTAGAAGTCGAAGGCAGAAGTTCTTGACCTGTTTGTTATGCCAATCCCGTAACACCAACACCCTATTCCCAACTCCAAACTAGCAGATCCATTTAAAACACGAATAGGACCCATCTCTAGTTAACGTTGATGTTCGCATAGGATGCCAATCAGTGACAAAAACATATTCAAATAATGCAAATGTAAAAAACGAAACAAGAAATCAAGTAAACAAGAGTAAACTAATTAAAAATGTTGACAAAGAATGCCTAATAAACGATAATATGTAAGTCAAGTGGTTTAATGATTATTGTCTCTTCATTTTTGTTTGTTTTGTGATCAACACTTCTGTTGCACTCTGAGTTAACCTGTTTAGTCCGCTTTCAACTTATATGGTACCTTTAACTATAGTTTCTATTATTGTATTTATATGTATAAACAAATCGAGCATGTTAAATCGTAACTGCATAAGCTGCTTAGAGCCAGCTGAGCAAAGAAGTATAAGCAAAAGCAAAACTCGTTAAGTACTTTTAGAGACAAAAACCTGTACTAAGAAGTGTACTAAAAATAAAGTCGCATTAACAACGTTGCATTAAACAAGAAAAAAAACAACCGAAAAACGGAAAAGCTAACAAAAACCAACAACAATAAGAGCAAAAATAGTTAAAGCGCTTAAACAATATGAATACTATGGATACTAACAATGAAATGAAAGAAAAGAAATGGAGCCGATGGAGAGGATAAATATATACGTGAATTATGTATTTTCTTATGTTCTAGACTTGTAAAAAAACCTATCGTATATGAAACACGCTATTATTACGTATAACTTTGAGTTCTTGTTCTATAGGACGGTGTGCGAGGATTTCGATTGTTTATTTTTTTGGGTTATAGGCACACTGCACCACACTCACCCACACACTCACTTATACACAATCACACAACTAAACAAAATCTTATGCTGAGAGTAAATATAAAGAGTAAATTATAATTACACAAACATAAATGGGAATAAATATATATAGGTATATACATGCATATATATAAAAATATATATACAAGAGCATCGGAAAACAAAGGTTAAGTTGATTGCTTTCGAATCCCGGCAGTTGGGCAGGAAGTATGCTAAAAAAATAACTAATGGCGAAGGCAGCAGAATAAAAAAAAATAAATTGCATGGCGCAGACGAAAACAAATATTTAGCTGCAAGCAGAATTAACCAAAAATGATTAAAAACCAAGTAAAACATGAAAAACACACAAACTGAATGAATGAGTATGAGCAAACGGAGAGAAAAGAAGCAAAGAGATCAATCAACAATAAAAAATTAATAAATACAAAATAAAATATACAAGTTGTTTTTATTAAAAAGGTCGAGATGTGTACTAAAATGTCAAAAATCAAGGGAAACGGAAGTAAAGATTGTGCTTGATACTGTGAAAGTGTCAGATTATTTAAAGTTTCCTATGGCTTACATAAAGGTGACCCAAATCTGCACTTTCTAAGGGGAGACTCATGTTCAAACGTGTTTATTCTAATATTCTGCACTCCAGATCTTATAGAGCTAATTTCGGTTTTTGAAAGTGCCATCCAGACTAATTTTGTACCTGATTTTTACCTGTATTTAACGAATAGAGAAACAGGTTTTGTTGTATATTTTAGCAGCCAGCTTCTGTTGGCCAGAAAGCTAGCGAATGCACAGAGCCAAAGCTTTGCAGTAAAGGCTGAAAAGCTGTGCGGTGCACTCAGTTCGCTGGCGTCGTGGGGTGCAGTCGGGAAATCGCGAGAAAAATCAATTTTTGAAAAATTCTTCCCTCGCTGAATATTCTCCCGTGATCCTCCATGAAGTGGGAGAACTACTGCGACTTTGTGGCCGGATGTTTTGGCGGTGAGTGGAAAGCTCCAGCTTGGGATCGTCTAGATCCCATATTGGTCATACTCAGGGAATGACGCAATGCAGAGCCAGATGATAGGCCACTTGTTGAGAGGAACAGCCCCAGCGGAAAACGGGCGCCATGGTCAAGTTCACGTGCAGCGCCCCTGATCCCCAAATCGTATTTTCGTGCCGCCATCGAATTCTTGGCAAGCGGCAATCGGCTGTTCAACATAAAATGTTAATTAATTTATGCTATATTACATTTTTTGTTTATTAAGGTGCCTGTGGGGTGGTGGTGGCCCACCCACTCGACACAATCAAAGTTTGGCAGCAGGCCTCGAACTCCTCCGTCGTAACGGCCATTCAACAGATCTACAGTCGCAACAATGGGGTAAGTTAAATAAAGGATTACGTCTACTCAGAGTTTTGGGAAAAAACGGGGATCCCCTGATTAGACGTAATCCTTTAGAGGATCGGGTGGGATATAATAGCATAAATCGGTTAGCATCGCTTTAAAGATCAACGGCTTCTACAGGGGCATGTTCTTTCCGTTCATCTCGACGGGAGCCATCAATTCGCTGCTCTTTGGCATATATGGAAACCACCTGCGGCAGCTGAGGAAGGTGTGCCACAGTGACTATCAGCGGGAGCAACTCGAGTACCACAACATGTTCTTGGCGGGATCGGTGGCAGGATTCGTGCAGTCCTTCATCGCCTGTCCCATGGAGTTGATCAAAGTCCGTTTGCAAACAGCAACCTGTGAGTTTGAACTGATTATCCTGCTTCAAAATTGAAATCAAATTTAAATCCGATATTGCACAGATTATAGTGACTACCTCTACGGCCAGCGAAGGACGGCCTTTGGCACCTTCAAAAGGATACTCAAGACTGATGGGATCTCGGGACTTTATCGCGGGCTGCTGCCCATGATGTGCCGGTGAGTTTGTCCAATTTCAAATTTCTGTTTTTGAGACTAATTAATTAACTTAAAGTTTATATAAAATATTCATTACATTTTTTTTACAGCGACGTCCTGCCCTATGGAATCTATATGCTGGCCTATCGCCAGGGCGTTGACTACCTGGACAGGCGGGATTTTGTGCGCCGGAGACGCAGTCAGTCGGACGGATCGAGTGTGAATCTGCTGGTGACGACCTTAGCTGGAGCCTGGGCCGGGATCATCTCGTGGGTGTGTGTCATTCCGTTCGATGTAGTGAAGACCTTGATGCAGGCGGACGAGAACCACAAGTACCGGGGAATCTTCCACTGCGTTAGGGTTCAGTACAGAGCCTACGGATGGCGGAGCATCTTCAGAGGAAGTTGGATGCTGGTGGCTCGGGCGATTCCCTTCAACGCCGCCACTTTTCTTGGATACGAATATGCCTTGGAGTGGTGTCAGCGGTGGAACGGTACTTATGTATGACCCAAAAAGTCTGGCAGTGAATAAGAGCTTTAACTAGTTTGTATAATGCACACGCTTGATATAAAACCTTTTCAAATTTATGTGATTGAAACTTTATGAACCATTTACGATTTTTGATATATTAAAATGTAATGATGCACATTGGAAATAACAACTAATTCTAATATCTTACTAACTTATTGTTACTTACTTACACATAATTCATGATTTTATTTAAAACTAGTTATTATCTTAATAAAAGCAAACGTAACAGTTTCTATTTCAAAATTTAAAAAACAGTGTTGCACGACGCATGACAATACGAAAAGGTTTAATTCCGAGCTAAATTTCTATCAAAGTTATTTACCTTTAACTACGACAACGGCAGTGTTATCGGGCATGGTATATTTGCAATCACCACCTGCGGTCACACCGAGTCGAACGATGAACAACAACACAACATCGCATCGCGTTCGTTTCGTTAAAAGATAAAACCAAATCGAAGTAATAAAGTGTACATACAGCCTCGTTTTTTGTGTTTTCCATTGAGCTACAGCGAAGTGAATTTAATGATCCGTGCTAAGTGAATATTTGCATATATGGCCAAGTGCAAATTTAAAGCGAGGCAACGCAGCGAGTTGCGATGAGCAGCCCAAAAAGGAGAAAAATGCCAGCATTGTTGTGCAAGTGAATTAATGTCGAATTGCGCACATTTATTATTATTTCTATTAGTGGTAGTATGTGCAGTTTGTTGCGGCGCGAAAAGTTCGCAAAGTTCGCTGGTTATGCGGACAGGAGGTGGCAATCGCTAGAAATAACGGTATACAAGAAGACGAAGAGAAAAACAAACTGAAAAGCAGAGCAAACAGGAGCAAACAAACAAACAAAACGGGAAAACGCAACAGAGTGTATTGTTTCGCCCCCATTTACCCCCTGAAATCCCCCCAAAAAAATCAAATTACGTGGCAAGTGGTCAGGCAAGAACAACAACAAACCTGCTGCTGCAAGTTTTTGGGTCCACTCTTGTTTTTGACTTACTGTACGTGCTAAGAACGCCCCCAATCCGCACCACCACCAAACAAATAACGGAGTAAAAGAATCCCGGAGAGCCACCACCACCAAAATGTCGTCACTCAAGGTCGCCGTGAGGGTTCGGCCCTTTAACTCCCGGTAAGCCCAGATATTCCATAGCTATTTATAGCCACAGAAGGGGTCAAAATAACAGGGCGTTTTTTGGGAAATCTACATAGGTGGGTGGCAGTAACCTGTTAGATACACAAAGAATCTATATCTGCAGCATTTTAAGACATTATTTTATTTGTTTTATGCCTGATTTCTTCACAGATTTCAACATCAGCTTCAAACTCCTTTTGAGGAATAAGGGAAAGTGTAGCTTAACGTACAGCAACTCGTACTCTTTAAATAGAAGCTGCTTTGCTAGTATTTTGACCTCAATTATGACTGAAAGAATGTTTGCCCAGACCTCGTGATAAGGTGGATAAAATATGTAACGCCCCTCAATGAACATTGGGAAATCTGTTGCGCATTTGACTAGCTTCAAAGAAATGAATCTCTAGAAACTCCACAATTTCGGTTAACAAATTTGTTGTAGCAGAAAAAACCCCGAAATAAAAACCAAAAATAACTAAGTAGAGGGTCTAACCGAATGGGCCTACTTAAAACCACATTAAACCCTTTTTTTCACTAGCCTCGTCTACAATCGTTAACTATTTTTGTTGCTGTTTTTGTGTCTTTATCTTGGCTTTCTGGCCAAGAAGCGGTCATTGCTTTTGGCACAGTTACTTGCGCATAAAGCCGAATCGAAACAAAAGCAGGCGAGAGAAAGACAAACGCACACAGAAGTTGGCAGAACAGCCAGACAAAGAAAGATATAACCCCGTAATGATGTCATTCATCTCGGGGTTCGATATAAAAATCACATGAACCTATACAACCGAGCTATCTGGGCTCTAAGTTTATGGCTTGCCGTGTGTTAATTGTGCATGAAATAAAACAACATCATCAGCGGCAAATGCTGTAATTATAATAGCAAAAAATGGAGCTAACTCCCTGCCGAGTTGTGACATCACCGTTTTGGTTCAAACTTATGCAAAGCAGCTACTTATAAAGACAGTGAACGATCGATACAGCAAACGAATAACAGAAGGGGTAGGGGTATCGATCTAACATACAAGTATCTGAAGATTGCAGTCTTTTTAATAATTTTCAAAGTATAGGGATGATTTAAGATTTAGTTATCATTGTTTAAAGGCTATTATGTTTGTACACCATGATTTTTACAAAAATGGTAATTAAATAATCTAACAATCATTCAAATTTTGTTTAAATTACTTGGAGTGTTTTCTGCTAGAGCTTTCACTGTACACATTTTGCCAGGTTTGTTTGGCCTCCGGACGGAAATTTTTAGCACATATTTCCACAGCTCCTCAGTGGACATGCAAGACTGACTGCTCAAAGTAGCCTCC